GGGGAACACGGCTTCCCAAGAGACTGGCTCTAGGTCAGGGCTGGGGAGCCAAGCTTTGCCTCTGCACTCTCCAGAGGTACAGGAACATCCCTCTCCACTCATCAAAAGCATCACCCTGTTGCCCAGTATGCCTTTACCAAGGGACTAAAACTTTATTTCACAGAGAGCTGGCCGAAAATACAGTATCCCCTGAGAAGTGTCACAACAAGCAGCGTCATACGAAGTGCGCATAAACGTAGCCAGGCCCCTCTGTGTCCAGGTTTCTCTCTGGGATCCAAGACAAAAAAGGGGAGACAAGGGTCCGAGGCAAAGGAGCATAGAAAAGCAATCTAAACAAACCGGAGGCTAGCTTTGCTAGGGGAAATTATCAAGGCAAATCCTTAACTCACTCCGGAGGCAGAAGAGATGACAAGAGACCAACCAGCGCCTAGGAGGCCAGCCTTCCGGAGGAATGTGTCAGTATTTGTCACCCCGGGGCCACTAACCTCAGCCCCCAAGCTGCCCTCCCGCCTCAACCCAGCCTAGGCACACCCGCCCTCACTGTGTCCAGACCCTTCTCTAAGGGTTCCCTCCCCAGCCCCCACCCCATGCGAACTAGCTAGGGCCTCGAGTCAGCTCTAGTTCAAATAGTCCCTCCGCCCGCTGCGCGGCTGTGAGGCCTGCGGGGCTCCCGGAGATCTCGGGTTCTGGGTGGGCTCGTCCTTCCCCCCAGTTTGTAGCTGGAAGGATTTCAGGAGCTGGAGCGCTGGGGGGGCCAGCCCGGGGCGCTAGGGCACCGCGTCGCTCCACGGCCTGCACCTCCCGCTGAGGACGCCAGGGGGAGCCAGAGGCCGGGGAGACGGGCTGTCCCGCCCCCGGGCCAGGTGGCTTCCCCCGCTCGGTGACCAGCTCCGTGGGCTCCGCCTCCGTCCGGAAGCTCTCTGCTCGGTGTTTACGGTGAGGTCACCCGGCCCGAGGGGGCGGCCCCGTATAATTAAAGCCCTTCTGCCTAAAAATAACCCAGTGGCAAAGGCATTTGGAAACTTTTTTTTTTTTTTTTTTAAGATTTTTATGGGATTCCTTAACCTTTGGTACAAAATGATTTCTCACTTTCTTTCGCGCTCTCTTCCTCTGTTTGAAAGCAAAACGTTGGTTTCACCGAGTTCCACCTTCCCAGATTAAACTGTATCTTTTGCCCTTCCAGCTAGCCAGTCCCCGTTTTACAATGAAGCTGGCCCTGAGAGGGGAGGGAGGAGGCGGACGTTCACACTAAGGTGACGGCTGGGTGCCCAGCCCCGAACCAGCGCGCGTTGGCCGCTGAACACGGGAGCTGCTTAAGGGAAGCCGGAAGGAGACAGAATCAGCCAGAAGAGGACCAGGGGAAGCGAGGGATTCAGCCGGGGGCTACCAGGCAATAAGCAGTGCAGAATAGAAACCAGCGAAAAATGCGCGTTTTCTTGGCTTGGTGCTCTCTCTCTCCCGGGAGCTGATGCAGATAAAAAACGAAGAGCTATGCGCACAGAACGGTTTGTTGCAACATTGTTTACAAAGCCTCAATTGGAACGGGCTGCATGTTCCGTCCAGGGACGGGGGACGCTGCACCCACTTGCTGGAACTGCGGGGGGGGCTTCGAGGGCGCTCAGGGCTAGGGCAGCAGGAAGTGCTACGTGTTAGGCTACAAATTCGGTCAGTCGGGGACCGAGCTGGAAGTAAACGCGCACAAGCATAAAACCTAGGGACACCACTGAATTTCTTTTTTAGTTTCTCTCCCTCTCTCTTTTTTTTTCTTATTAGTATTTTTAAGAGGGGAGGGATCACCAGACGCCCTTATATGTGTTTGGATCAAGGTCGCTACACTGGGAGACAGCGGGCGAGCAGAGCTCCTTGAGCTCTGTGTACTTGAGTCTCTTACGCGAGGAGCCCTCCAGACAGCAGGCCCCCTGCTCGAACGAACGGCGCTAGCTAGCCCAACACATCGGGACACCCCACCTAGATTGGGAGCAACTAAAACACAGCGGTAAAAATGCTATAGAGGATAGAGTGTGATGTTGACAGCCTGGTCCCTGAGATGAGAGGGGGTGGGGATGTTTCCAAGGGTCTAAGACCCTCTAGAGCTCCCAGTGAAGACGCAGAAACCGTGGCTCGTGCACTCACGGGGCCGTCTCCCAGACCCTAAGCAAAGACCTTCCCGGAGAAGAGCAGTTACAGACTCTCGCTTATCAATGAGCGTCGTGTCCAAGATGTGGGTGTTCTATGGGCAAACGAGGGCGAGGGGCACATCCAGGGCTGACACGGCTTTGCCCCCTCCAACCTTCTTTTGTTGGCCCCGGGCAAAGCACAAGTTACTACCTGGGGTGAGATCAAACATCATCCTCAAGCTTACCTCTGCTATCCACTCAAAGAGACAGTACTTTGAAAAGGAAAATAAATCTAGAAGGATTCGGGAATCATCCTGAACTGTAGCCATTGCTGGCTGGGAGTGGCAGGCTTGCGAGGTGGAGCAGTGAAGGGCTTTGCGTTTGGGCTGTCCTGTTTCCATGGAAGCTTGGAGAATTTTCTACAGGTCATTCAGCCTCTCGAGCCTCAGTGTTCTCTTCATCAAGCATGAGTGTTAATGTCCGCTTCCACCGATAGATTGCAAAGATCAGAAGCCCTGATATCTGTAAAGCTCTCAGATGCCTGGTGCATACCTGGTCCTCAGTAAATGGGAGCCGTTAGCACCATGAATTTCTGGCAACTTTCACACAGACAGAGGTCATTGCAAGTTGATGGTAGTTTTCTCTCTATTTAAGATAAATCCCCTCTGTTTGCAGAGCAGGAGGACACAAAGAATTTGGCTTTGGGGATGGGTGCAGGGTTGTGAAAGGGTTCCTTGCCTGCCTCCTGCACACAAAGAAAGGCTCCGCATTTGTCCACAGGAGGCCTGGAATATTCTAGAGATGCCTTGTTATTGAAGGTCATTGAATCTGATATACATCTTCCTAGATGAGAGGACTTAATATTTTTAACATGTCATTCCTTTGCAAATTAGGGTGTCAATTGACCATACTTCCAGTAAACTTTTATTTTTTTAATTTATTTTTTAATGTTTATTTATTCGAGAGAGAGAGAATAAGCAGGGGGTGGGCAGAGAGAGAGGGAGGCACAGAATCCAAAGCAGGCTCCAGCCTCTGAGCTGTCAGCACAGAGCCTGACACAGGACTGAAACTCACAAACTGTGAGATCATGACCCGAGCTGAAGTCAGCCGCTTAACCGACTGAGCCACCCAGGCGCCCCCAATCAACTTTTATTTTAAACTAAGCAACATGTTAAAAATTAACGTGGAAGAGTAAATGTGTAAAAACTGACAAAATTGTTTGGGAAAAGTTTAGCAAGAAAAGATATTACACGGTGCCAGATATTAAAAACCTGATAGCTCCAACTAAAATATACATATCAATCCTGATCATAAACGTGCTGTAATCAAAACCATGTCATATCAGCAGAGGAATAATCAAAAGGAAAATGAACAAAATGAAGAGTAAAAAAGTTCTGTGTAAGAACTTAATATGTGACAAAGCTGGAAGTCCGGTGAAATAAAAAGTGTTTCTTTGTTGCAGCAAATGATGCCGATGTCATTGTCCATTTGGAAGAAAACAAAGTTAAACTCCCAGCATCCTATTTACACAAGTAAATTCCAGATATAATAAAGGTCTGAGTGTAAAAAATAAGACTTAAAGACATAAGGAAAGAATATGAAGTTCATTTTTATAGTCCCAAAGGCAGTGGAGAGAGACGTTCATGACAAGCCCCAAATGCATGACAGAAATCGTCAACAAGACAAAGATCGGGACTTCTGTGTCTCAGAATTTCCACCACAATTTCCAGGACGGCAAGTGTCCTCAGAATTAAGGAGAAGCATGAGAAAGGTCCCAGCAGCCTCTCCAGGAGCAAACCCTTGGGTTATCCGTCACCCTCCTCTCACCCACGGAAGAGAAGCCTGGAGGTTCATTAGGGAGGAGATTCCTTTGAGGAAGTGCTCAGGAATAGAGATCCGGAAGCATTTCCCTCCTTTTTTTTTTTTTGTTTTGAGTTTTTATTTTGTTTCTTTTGAGAGAGCAACACAGAGAGAGAGTGGGGGGGGGGGAGGGCAGAGACAGAGAGAGAGAGAGAGAGAGAGAGAGAGAATCCCAAGCAGGCTCCGCACTGTCAGTACAGAGCCCGGGAGGGGGCTCGAACTCACGGACCATGAGATCATGACCTGAGCGGAAATCAAGAGTCAGACGCTTAACTGACTGAGTGACCCAGGCGCCCCTCCCCACCTCCTTCTTTTAGAAGTGAAGGAGGCATGTCCCCCATCTCAAGTCAGGGAGGCACCCAGAGAATCCCACGTGGAGACTGGGGTGCTCTGCCATTAGAGCAGGCATCTCTCATTCCCTGGCTGAAGCTCCCTGAGTGACAGAAACCTGTAAGCTCCTGGGTGCCGATCCTGCAACCCGATGATGGAAGGACTTTATAGACGCTCCTGCGTTTCTGGGGACCCATCTGAAGACTGTGGGGCCTGCCTGTTGCCGAGAGAAGCTGGCTGGAGCAGGCTGCGAACGCAGGGTAAGAGCGGGGGCCGATTCGTGTCATACGGAAGGATTCTGCTTGCTGGGCTGCAGGGAGCCCAGAGTGGGTGCGCAGAGAGCAGGAGTGAATGCCACAAGCAGGGGCTGGGTAGAGAAAAGGAGGGGGGCACACACACTACCTGTGTCAGGTGGAGGAACCCACCATGGCACCCCTAAAAAGGCTGCGGTGGGGAGGTCCACTATGACTGGAATTGTATAAGAGCCAGGACGGAGATATACCTGGTCCAGCCAGGTGAGCAGGCCTTTGCCTTTTCCCCTTTATCCCTGCCTCCCTTGGCCATGGCCTCAGAGGAGCCACATGGCCTCACGGAGTGGAAGGAGTTGGACTAAGGAGGGGAAGGAGGCAGACCCAAGCCCTCACTCCCTGCCGCTGGTCCCTAAGCTTTAGGGGGTTGGGCCCGATTGGGGGATAGTGAGGCCTATTAGTGGTTGGATTAAGATTTTGATTTAGGCTCAACTGATTTTTTTTTTTCACCTAACGAATGAACAATATTTACGAAAATTTAAAAGATAGGTAACATTCGGTGCTGGTAAGGATATGGGGACACAGTTATGCTCAGATAATGCTCCCAGCAATGTAAGTTGCTCTGGGGAAAACACTTTGCCGGGACGGATTGCCATTTAATGAGAGCATAGTCTTTGACCCAGAAATCCTACTTTTTTCTTTTTTTTTTTTTAATTTTTTTTTCCACGTTTTTATTTATTTTTGGGACAGAGAGAGACAGAGCATGAACGGGGGAGGGGCAGAGAGAGAGGGAGACACAGAATCGGAAACAGGCTCCAGGCTCTGAGCCATCAGCCCAGAGCCTGACGCGGGGCTCGAACTCACAGACCGCGAGATCGTGACCTGGCTGAAGTCGGATGCTTAACCGACTGCGCCACCCAGGCGCCCCTGGAAATCCTGCTTTTAAGAATCTATCCAATAAAAATAAAAACAACGGAGTGGAAGAATATCTATGTATCTATTGATATCAGTATTGTGCATACAAAAAACAATGGGAACAGCCTGAGAATATCCATCAGTATGGAACAGTGGAACAAATCGTAGTACATCCATGTGACCGAACGTATGCTAATAGGTAGCTCTATCAATATTGACCTGGAGAAATATGCACATCACATTACCCAAGATAAGTTGCAGGGTGATCTTTATAATATGATCTCTTTTTTTTCCCAAAGGAAAGGAAAGAAAAAGTGTGTGTGTGTGTGTGTGTGTGTGTACATGCACACACATGTGCGCATGTGCGTGTTTTGAAAGCACATGGAGAAAAGCATGGAAGAATACACATCAGTACCACCACTAGCTACTGTGCTGGTGGTAGACCGGGAGGAAGAGACAGTTAATTATTCTTTATTCAGGGCTATACTGTTTGGCATTATATCAACAAATGCTTCCAGGCAGCCACTGTATGCAATTAAAAAGAAAATCCCACCAAGTAGCATAAAGGGAGACTACAAAGGAAAATGATCCATCGTTTGGGTTTAAAGTGTTAGCGCAGAGCCCGGAGGCTGCTTCAGATTCTGTGCCTCCTTCTCTCTCTCTGCCCCTTCCCCACTCATGCTCTGTCTCTCTCTGTCTCTCAAAAATAAATCAATGTTAGGGGCGTCTGGGTGGCTCAGTCGGTTGAGCGTCCGACTTCGGCTCAGGTCATGATCTCGCGGTTCGTGAGTTCGAGCCCCGCGTCGGGCTCTGTGCTGACAGCTCGGAGCCTGGAGCCCGCTTCGGATCCTGTGTCTCCTCCTCTCTCTGCCCCTCCCCTGCTCATGCTCTGTCTCTCTCTGTCTCTCAATAATAAATAAACATTAAAAAGATTTTTTTTTAAAAATGAATAAATGTTAAAAAAAAATAATAATAAAAAATAAAGTGCTGCTCACCTCCCAGGGTAGAGGCCATTCCTCCTATTGGACATAGAAGAGGCATTGACTAAAATGTTCCCAGTAACAGTTGGACTCTGAGTCAGGTGCCTACTTTCTCTGGGCCTCGTCTACAAAATGCAGATACTAAAGTAGATGTCTGGCCCTCAGCACCACAGAAAGGCACCGTGAGAGCCCTTATCTAGGATCTGCGATTTCTCTTTGCTTCTCCCTAATAAGTTCGCCTTGAAAAGGAAGAGAGCTTGGGGCATGGGGAAGAGCACTGGACAGAGCAGGGACAGAATTTCCCAGGCTGACTCCGGGGCCACTCCAAACAGGCCTTCTCCTCTGCCCGGGGAACTGTCCTTGGTGGACACAGCTCAGAATGAAAAGGGAGGAGCAGCCCCCTGCCCTGGGGGAATCTGGCTTTACCTGACCACCAGGGAGCTCCTCCTTCCCGCACCCCTCCCTGAACCACGGCCCTGCCGGCCCAGGAAAGAGATGGAGACACTCACCGAGGACTAAGAGCTGGACACGTGACTTCGGGGTGCCTCCCAGGTCCTCCATCAGTGACACTGAGCACTCGTAGGTGCCATTGTCTTCCATAGTCAGCTGACCGATGGTGATGGAGGCATCTGAGATCTCAGCGTTGCCAGATACATTGACTCGGTCCTTGTAAAGTTCACCACCGATGAGGGTTTTTGTCGAAAACTTCCAGATGAGCACCATTTCCTGGGAGGAAGAAGAAATGGCACTCGGTCTTACCCCAAGTCTCAGCACGGAGCTTGCAGCCCGTGCTGACCACCCTCACCCACCGTTCCCAAGCCCAAAGTGCCGACACACCAACCCATCAGAACCAACAGCTCTAATACGTGGTGCCCGTTTGCGGATCCCTTTATTGTGCATGTATATTTTGGCAACGAAATATTTTATTATATTATTATATAATAAATACATAATAAATATAATATATATTTATTATA